GCAATAGAGTAACACAAGAAAATGTATAATTCAACAACACCAAATAAAAGTGAGTTCTTTTGTGTTTGCGTGAGTTTTCTTCTGTGTCTTGTGTTTTGGCCATGATCTCGCAGGCAACAGGGTGTTGTCTCTCCGACGAGTTTCTAATGACGTATAGAATTCTCATACAATTGTTCTGATTATACGGACTAACTTGAGCGTCGGAGAGACTTTTCTGCAGGAACCCCCTTGTGTTTTGCAGGTTATCACCGGAGACGACGTGCCGGTCCAAGTTTGTGGATTGCATTTCAACCGGTCTTGGGACAATTTGCATATCAGAGACCACTGCTGACAGTCAAAGAATTGTTGGATTGCCCATACCAAATGCAGCACTAGAACCCACTAGTTCAAGGTTTAGTTCTGTCTCTCGCTTCTTTTATGCTATAGTTGTATAGCCGAACTACTTGACTACTTACTGATTATATCTTGTGATGCTTTCTTTGTGGCGTTCTACCTCTTGCCGTGTTTTTATTCTATTCTTGTGTTTTAATGAAAGTGGATTATGAGAATGGTCTTTATGGGGAGTGTATTTGCTAGTACAGTATATTTGGCTATGGGGAGTCTATTTGTTAGTACGTGTGTTTGGAATATTTCTTTTCCACTTCCGTTTCTAGGTTTGTTAACTGCAAATTTTTATATCCAAGACCGCCAAGATTGTTAGTATATTGGAAAATGTTGAACAGCAACTGTTTGTGATGTATCCTGCAGTGCCAATTATCTCTAGATGTTAGAAGTAATAACAACTTTTTATCCAATTGTTTGTGGTTAATACTTTCTTTTACTACAATATCCATTATGACCTGTATTTGCATCACCATGTATGTAGCATAACCGTTCAACGATTGCTCCCAGGAGACTGTAGTATAACCTGTCACATGCCAGACCTTGATATATTGTCGGTTCATTGTGGTAAAATCACACTAATAATTTTCTTGAATTTATTTGGGCAGACCTGACGGGTTGAAGACGATGAGCGAAAGAACCAGATTTCTTTCTACAACTAACTGTTATTTAGCATCCACTGATGCATAAAACCAAATAGCAGCAGTGTTCATAATCTATTTATTTTAGGTTCTATGTTTTGGGAACCTGCATATTGCTCTTTCTTTGTATCTTCTCTTTTCCTTCTGCTGTGTACAACATAACATAAGCATTATTGTAACATTCTATAGTAGTTCCAACACAATCTTGGAAATATAAATCAATTCACTTGTTCTTCCAAGTTCAAAACACAAGCACACATTTCAACCTGTTATACATTGCTTGTACACCCCAATCGCTCAAGATGCACAAAATAACACTAGCACACAACAATCACAACGAAGTAATACAAAGCAATTCCTTTATTATAGCAACCCCCTCATTATAGCAATCCAGCATACTTGTTTAGCAAACAAAAGATGCATTGACATGATAATCGCTGCAGTACAGCCCTGGGCGCTGAGTATAGCCCTGTTTCTTCAAAAGCTGCCTGGCCTTGAGCACCAGTTCCTGGTTACTAATCCTCCCACCTGACTCAGCAATTATGGTCTGTATAGCATTGCTCAGAGCCCCATATGCGCGACTCGGATCCCCAGATGGGGTGGCATCTGCAGACGTCTGATCCGTCTGGCAGCCGCTAATGAGAATGCCACTATCTGGCAGGGCCCTTTTCGTGGCTCCCGCGTAAGCCTCCTCTTTCCTCCCCACGTGAGTCTCTAAGGCGGGCTTCGCATAATCTTCATTGTTTTCTTCAAGCTTCTGCTTCAAAAATTGCTGGGCCAAACTCCCCACCATGCCCATGAACCCACCACTTTCCCCACCCTCTCCCTGGCCCTGTCCTAATTTGCTGAAAATGACGTTCATGAATTTCTTGACCTTGGGGCTTGAGTCCTCCCCAAAGACATCGAAGAGGGTCGGGCGGAGCTTGCCGACATCGATGTCATCCTTGCCTGTCTTCTGCTTGAGTATGTCGATGAGGGTCGAGAGGGGGAGGGATTTGTTCTTGATAAGGACCCCGTCTTGGCCTTGGTATTCCTCTTCCGAATTTTCTTCTTCTTTATGGCAGTGTAGGTGAATGCCGCGCGACTCGATTGCGTCCTCGACTTTTCGGTGGAGGAATTTCTTAAGCCCCGACCGGAATCCTCCGCTGTCTTCTTCTTCTTCTTCATCTTCTCGTTCGTCGTCAATTTTTTTGGTGCTCTCGCCAATTTGCTCCTTGGCTTCGTCTATAAGGCCTCCGCTGTGGCAGGAGTCGGACACGATGGTGATCTGGCAACCCTGTGGCACTTTGTCCACAAGCTCCCTAAAATCATCATCTGATCATGAGGAAGAAAAACGAATCAACTGAAATTATATCGAATTCCTTCACATCTATCAGCTAATTTCCAAAAAGCGGATCTGATAACCATATCACGAAGACAGATTGAATAAATATAATAAGATACAGAAAGGGGAAAAAATGACTGACCGGTGATGAGATTCATATCCGTGGGGACAATGCACTCGTCGTAGCCGGTGTCGTCGTCCTCGCCTGTCTCCGCTGGGAGGCGGGTGCCGTGGCCGCTGTAGTGGACGAACAGGAAGTCTCCGGGGCGGGCCGAATCGACCAGATCGGCAAGTGCAGCACGGATGTTGCGGCCCGTGGGCTGGGTGTAGGAATCGTCTGTGTCGATGAGTACCGTGATGTCGTCCGCCGAATAACCGTAGCGCTCGATGAGGCAGCTGTACATTCGCTGGACATCGTTGATGCAGCCTCTGAGCTCCGCCTTTGTCCCCGGGTAATTGCAGCCGATCAGCACCGCCCTTCTTGCCATGGATATTTCGGTGAAAGGTAATTTGATTTGATTTTTGTGGATTTTTTCTTTTTTCTTGTAGAAATTATAGAATTGATGTGGCTTTTATAAGAATGTGATAACAGGGGATGAAGAAGGGGGGAAAGAGTTGAAAAAAGCTTTATTTCATTTATTTGTGCACTCAATGAGATCTGCAAAATTTTATTAATGCTACAGTTGTATTTGGGAAGAAAAAATTAGAGGATATGTTCTATTGGACAAAATATGATATCAAAACTTAAATTATTAAATTGATATTAAAATTTAATAAATGTCGGCATGGGAGTGGGGTGATTGGCCGACTGGCCGGGGGCGTGGGCCTCTCTTATTTTCTAGTTTTGTTTGCTTTCAATTTTTTTTTTTTTTTCGTGAGACGATAGATTTTTCAATAAAATAAAAACACAAAATTACAGACTATTATCGTTTTTCCATATAATAAAAACACAAAATTACAGACTATAAAGCAGTTAATCCGAATAAATAAGCTATTCATCTAGTTGGGAGAACTAACCTCAAATGCAACAAACCGGGGTAGCTTAGAATCAACAGCATACTAGAATAAAAAAACACAAATTTCCAACAAGAGATTAAGCACAACTCCCAAAAGGAGAATAACAAACAACAAAACAGGAACCTAAAACACATAACTAAATACGCAAAACTAAATACTCAACTAAGCAAAAAAACTCAACACTCAACAAAAAAAAATAACAATAAACAGGACGCCCTCCCCTGCAAATGACCATCATCCGGCACCTCCGCCACCCAAACGTTCGGCACCCAACCCAAAAACACACGGGTCGAGGGACTGCCCCTACGGCTAAGTTGACCCTGACTGACGGACTGGAGTCTTCCCCCGAAACACCACAACAGACAATTCGAGAGACCAAAGCCAAGAACCCCAACCCCACCAACTCAAACAACAACCGCAACCCAGATACCACTGACACCGAAAGAAACAGGACAAAATGTACAACCCCAACCTCCAGTTAATAGCCGCACACAACTACAAGCCCAAGACCCGTTCTTTGCCGGCAAACCAACAACCACCACCACAGCCGCTATGGCATCCAGGAACTTGAACGACGCCCACACAACTAATGCAATCGCTAGCCCGCAGGAGAAACAACCTAACTAGAGCCACCAGAGAGCCGAGGTTCGAAGACGACCCCTGAGCCAGACACGCGCAAAGTTTCAAGCCCAACCACTCCCTTCACCAAGACTTGGTAACAGCTAGAAGGACCCACCCACTGAGCACAAGTTGGCCAAAAACCGCGCCTCGACGCCCCACCGACCCTAACCTCACCACAAATCCGACAAACCAGAAGCAACTCCCCGTCTCAAACTCCAAGAGACGGCGGAGAAGAATAGGTAAGAGCCGACAGAACCATCTCGAGACTGCGGCCGTGGCCCCACCCCCATCGTTGAACCCTCGCCTCAAACCGCCAACACAATCACCCAAAAGAGACGGAACCACATCGGGGGAGATGACCGAAATGGAAAAGAGGGTGGGGGCTGCGCAGGGTGGACGTCTCCATGGAGGAGTCGGACCAACGTAATAGAGGAGGTAAACGCAAGGATGGTTGACGATGGACTATTTTTGCAGTGATTTGGGGAAAAAATCCAGGGAGGGAAAGTTAACACTTGGGTATTGCTTTCTTTTTATGGTTGGCTAAATGCTTTTCATTTTTTTAAGCAAGTTAGGAGTGCATACAATACGGTTACTCGAGCCGAATGATCAAAACCGAATACTTGGTTCAATTTTTGATTTATAGTTTCTTAAAATTTTAGTTTTCGGCTCCATTATGATGTGTGTTCGGTTAACCAAACATAACCAAAAACCAAAATTATTTGTCTATGTTATAAAAGTCATTATCCAGCCCATGTTTTGAGGCAACCAAATAAAAATGAGACCCACCCAGGCATCCACGAGCCACAACCCGCATGCCACCCACTCATGCCCATTGCATTGCTCTGCATCCTCATCTTTGATCTCCTTAGAACCTAAAAGAGTAAGCTCATAAACTGAACTTATGTATAATGTATTCAGTCACAAGTTGTGAACTTCACAAGCACTAACTTCGTGTAACACCCCGCCTAGACTTACTAAAATCAGAGTAAATTTTTCGCGCTATAAAATGAAAGCACTGGTTTAATTTTCGAAAACTCATATTAATTTTTCGAAAATACTTTAACTTTAATATGCAAGATGCTACTCAAATTTAATCTTAAATCTTTAATTTTTAATATCTGTAAAATACTGGGCATGCAATCGAGTATAATTCATTACTCTAATAAGACGCCATAAACATCTCAGGATTTAAACATGCATAGACTGAAATTCTAGATACTAGACATGCACCCGAATATAACTTCTAGTTACTATAATATTTGCCATTTGACAAAATAAATAAATAAATAACTAAATAAAAATTGAAAGGAGAAATAGAATTTTATCACACATAATAATAATGAAATAAAAATATAAAATCCAGATTTGTATAGGATTCCACAACATCTGCACTAGTACAATGTGGATAAAGCAATGAGCCAAACCAATAACTCGACAAACCGTTACCAAATGATACGAATGATGGTAATAAAAACTAAAATGGTTTTCCGGCACGCCGGAACCCGGAAAATAAATGTATATCTCAGGCGGCAAAGACTCCTCACTCACTTATTAACGTAATTGCAATTGAGCCTCACCTCCCCTTTCCCCGTCCTCCTCGTCACCACATTCACGTTCCCCAGCTTCGTCATCGACACCGCAAACTGCCCCGTGAACAACTCCGGCTGCCCTGCCATCAGCCCCACCATCCCCGCCGTCCTCCCATCCGAATAAAGCAGCTGGTCCGTCTCCAAAACCCCCTTTCGCCTCCCAAGATTCCCATAATAAGCCACGTCGAACTTCCTCGGTGTCGTCCCATCCAGATCCACGAAGCTCTCATAACCATTACGGCATCGCCCCCTTAAAACACTCCGATAAGCAGCATCCATGGGTGGGCCGCCATTCCTCCCGAACAATCTCCTGTTGATGGCGTGGCAGCTCGTGCGCCCGATCGTGTGGGCTCCGGATAGGACGACGAGGTCGACGTACGAGAGCCCCAGCTCCTTCTCGAAGAGGTTGATGAGTGCGGTGACGTTCTCGTGGCCCTGCGGGACGAGGGCGTCGGCCTCACGGGCGAGGGAGATGCGGCCGTCGGTGCGTCCGAAAGGGACCTCCCAGAAGGGCCCGCCGGCGAGGACGGTGGCGTCGCGGGCGGCGGCCGTGAGGATGTCGGCGCACGAGACGGTGCGAGGGCAGCGTCGCTCGACCTCTGCCTTGATGTCGTCGATGAGCTGGAAGCCGCGGAGAGTGGCGCTTGCCTCGGCCGAGCGCTCGCTGCCCGAGTGGTTTAACAGGACTGAGGCGTCACAACCCTGCATGAAAAAAA